CTAGAATATGTATGTCCGACAACTAGAGAACACGCTTTCCATATACATTTTTTGTATATTTAGATGGAAAATAAATCAAGATCATTTTATTGGGATTAATTTGACCTTTTGAATCCGTTATTCACATGTATGTTAAGTGAATGAAATAAACATATACATAAAGCAAATAAATCTACTAGAAATTTTTCTTCACATATCATTATGATCTTTTCATATTATTGCAAAATATTCAATATGGAATATATGATATTTAGATATCGAACTATGAGATGAGACATATTGATCCCTGAGGGAAAAAAAATGATAAGTTTGACGTCAATATGTTTTTCGTTTAATACATCTAACTATCACATGAAATTGTACTTGACCTTTTCTACAAAATAATAAATGATTCGAATACATGGCAGTTCACATATATATATGTTGATCCTATTGTCATAAAATGTTTATGAATATTATCTTAGATTTTGTATCAAAACGAAGAAATATTTGTTGTAATCATAGTTTTTTGTGTTTTGTTTATTTAATAGGATGCCTCATGGGCTAAATTAGGTGTTTTTTTTGTTATTTATCGATCCGGATGAACAACAATCAATCGGAAATAATCGTAAATGGATTCAAATATAAACTTGTTGAAAAAAAAAAAAAGAATTGTAAATTTTATTTTCTTTTTTAATTCAAAAATCAGAATAGTTTATACGAGTATAATTGAATTCAGAATGAATCTATTGGTTATTAAGGGAGAAAAAAAAATAGCCGTTTGAATAAATAAATATTTGCAATGAGAAGAGAAGCTATACTCAGTATTGAGAAACTCATTAGTCATCTAACAACTTCCGTTTGATTTTTTGCAGTTTGAATGTCTTAATTTTTTTCTGTTGTAAATACTTATTAGGAAAAAAAAATGTTTATTAGAGATATCTTGATCAACAAAATGCGCAAGTACTAAAACGAAACCATATTAATGTTTCCCATCGAGAATTGAGCCGGCTGATTGCTATCAGAGTGTAACTAAGAATTAATTTTTTTTTCTTCATCTATTTTCATAGTTCAATAAATATCAGGAAAAAAGATGTATGACTGTTTCCTTTTCCGTTCTTAATGAAATTTCAGTTTTTTTATCCTGACTCTTAAGCTCATATGTGATCATCTTCTGTCAAAAGGAAGTGTGCACAACACGTTAGAATAAGCAATTACTTTTTCCAGACTATCGTCGTAAGTACGTCAAAAAAATCTCCAAATATAGTAAGATCCATAACTAAAAGAATTTGTCTAAGTTGATTTCGTGATTTGAGAAGATTAGAATGACTTGAATGTTTGTCTGCAAAAAAAAAGAAAAGAATAAATTATTTGGTTGAAGTATTTAATTAATACGCTATTCATCTTGCATTAAACAATATAGATTGAAAAAAACTCAGAGAAAGTAAACGATTTAATAAATATTACTCATTTCATCTTTATTAGAAAAAAAAAACCAAAGTTTAAAGAGTGTCCCAGAAGTTCTGTTACGTTTTTAAGTAATTTTGGCTTAGAAATGTAACAGAACTTCTGGGACGCCTTTTATTAGTTCTATCTTTTTCTTTATTTTTAGCAAAAAGCGAAAAAAAAGGAAAAATGACCTGTCATCCCTATTCATTCATAAGTTTTCGTTATTTTCTCGTTTGGTTATGCATATCAATGATCATCATTGGGGTAAAATTCATCAATAAAATATTTAATCAATTAAATTCTTTTTATTTCTTTTTTAGTTTAGTCAAGCAATCAATAATGATTTATTTTCATCATCAAGCGAGGATAACAATAATCATCCAATATATCGTCGTAATTCGAAAAAAGTAGCTCAAATGCTTCAACAAATGTTACAACGCGGTGAAATGCAAGTTCAACCATATCGTATTCATGAATTTCTTCATCGACTTCATCGCCGAGAAGCAAATGATTAAATTTAAGAACAAACATATAATTCTTTATTTATTGTATTCCAAAAAAGAAAGAAAAGAGAAAAGTTTTTTTCATCAACATTAAGAAAAAAAGAAAATTAATATATATATATATATAGTCTTCTTTCACAAATCTACATAAACAAAAGAAAAAGTTTGCGATGAAAATAATATTAAAATCCAGGTTTTCTTTTTCAATTCAAAATTGAACTATTCTTTGTTTCTTCTGAACTATTGTCTACAAAAAAACACACAGAACGAGATAGAGAAAGAGAATAGTAAGCATCTAACAAAACCAACACTTGTTCTTAAGTGATGATAGAAAAAGAATTGCTAAGAGACACACACAAATACACAGCAAGTATAAAAAGAAAAAAAAGAAGAAATTTTGATATGATCAAGACAAGGCATTTGTTATTGGACGGATAAGATATAATATTTCACGGTGTTGTATCAACACATAAACTACATGATCGATCAACACCCTAAAAATAATACATCAGATAAATGTATGAAAATAATTTTGAAAGCAAATTAATCATCAAACTAAGCGAGATCAAGAAAAGAAAAGAGCAAAAAAATCAATTTAAGATGATAACCCACTGTATCATCATTAGAATTGTTGTTATCAGTATTGGTATTATTGTTAGTTTCATGACTTTTATCAAGTTCAGAAACTTTCAGTGATACGGAGATCTTTACATATACATATATATAAATTTAGTTGGATATCAATAAATAAGATTTTTAAATCTTACACTGAGAGAAACGAGATAATATGACTTACTTTGGTTGGTGATGTTTGTACTATATCAGAACGTGATGGAGAATAGTTTCTTGTTGGTGATCGATGAGTATTTGTCCTAGAAATATTAATTCATATAAAGACATCTATTTTATAAATAAAAAGTCTTTTTACATTGTAACAGTTGATGTACCACGATATCGTGTATCATAGTCCATATGTGATGTAAGATCAGTTAATTTTCGTAAATCCTGAGCTGCTTTTTCACTTTAATAAAAAATTTAATAGAGTTTATTTTATTTAAAATAAATGAATGAAGTTTACCGTTCAAATCTTTCACTTGTTAATTGTCGTTTAAATCGATCATTATCTGTTTCTAATCCGATAATTTGCGCTCTTAATGCAGCTATTTCTTTACTTTGACTTTGTCTAAAAATAAAAAAGAAAAGAAACAAAAAGATTTATATTTAGAATATGTTTAAAATAAAAATAATCGATTCATACATTTTAAGATCATTCATATTTGCTCGATCTTTGATTGATTGTAATTCTGAATCTTTTTCTTGTGCTTGCATTTGTGTTTGAAATTCTTTTTCTCTTGATGAACCAATAATTTCTTCTAAATTATGTACCATAGCTTTTTCATTCATTATTTGTGTATGTAATAAATCAATTTCAACTCTCATATCACTTATAGCAGCTTGTAATTGTTCATTTTCAATTTCTTTTCCAGTTAATTGTCGAATAATTTGTTCTTTTTTTGTTTCAATTGTTACATTAAGATCACGAATATTTGTTATTTCACCAGCATAATTTTGTTTATCAATTTGTAATTTTTTTATTATTTCTTCATTGCGTTGTGATGAACGATTCATATTTGATAATTGAAGTTCATATTCTTGGTTAATAGATAAATGCTACAAAGAAAAGAAAATTTCAAAAAAGAAACATCTATTCTAAATTTATTATTATATACTTGTTGAAGTTCTCGTTCAACATATTCAATACGTTCTACTAATCGTTTCATATCAGCTGATTTTATTAATAGTTCTTGTTTAAGATTAGCTGCCTGAGATTCCATATCGGCTAGAGTTAATTTTGCACGACTTAATTCATTTGTTGCTTCTCGATATTGTTCAAATAAGATTGTTCGATCATTTTCCTAGAACAACAAAAATAAAATTGATTTTACTTAGAATTTTCAAAACAATCTACTAGTCCGATTTCAATATAAAATTCTATAGTCGTAAAAATAGTATATTTAATTAGTTTTGATTTACTTTTTGTGTGATAACATTTTCACATTTGGCTACTTCTTTAATATATTCTTGTACTTGTAATTTGAGATTTTCTTTATCATCAATAATATGTTCAAGTTCTTGATGAAGTGCCTAAAAATATAAGAAAATAGATAAATTTTCAAATATCAAAAACAAAATTCTTTTTTTCAAATCAATTTAATCCTTGAGAAAATCTAACAATTCTTTACTTAAAGTTTTCTGTTTATTTGAATATAGTCAGCAAAGCTGCCAGATCGAAAATTCAAAAATCAGAACATTTTTTCTAAAAGTCGGAAAAAAGTCGGAAAGTGGTTTTGTAATGCTAAGATAGCTGTTTTGTTTTTCCTGTAAGGCAGCATGCTTTATTCTGTTTCTGTACATTTTTTCCATACACTATCTGAAAAGATATTTCATAGTCGAAAAGAGAAACAATGAATTTATATATACAGTTCAGTCATAATGAGCAAAACTACACAGGTCATTTAATCTCAAACACATTGTTTTTTCAAAAAGCTTAGGACCAAATTCATATAAAAATAGAATCAAAAGTATAAGCTCATATATACACATACATCTCACGAAATTTGTATAAAAGAACTAAAATTTATTCAGTATCACGACGTTTTGATTTTGTTCATATTTTTCATTAGCTCGAATTCTCTTCAATACATCACGTTCAGATAAAATATATTGATAAAAATATTCGCAAGGATAATCAGAATTCATTCTGATTTTCAATTCTGCAGCAACTAATTCGATATCCATATGATTACGATGGTCAGGTCATAAATGTCACATATGCCTAAGGGTGTGAGTGTGGGTGTTTCTAAAGAATAGAGTAACATTCACCCCCACCCTCACACTCGTCCACACCCAGAAGGATGGATTTTCACAGCAATCAAGTGTCTCTATTATTAAGTTTATGAGAGTGCACCGCTCAATAATTATAGGAAAAAAAAGATGCCACGTTAGATGTGTAATAGCGAGTTATCGTTAAAGTATTTTGAAATACTCAAAAAAGTCTGAATTTAGAAAAAATTTCAAAAATCACAAAATCAGAAAGTGATTGGAATAACCTTCAAAAATCGGAATTTTTCCTGGCATATCGGAAGATCTGGCAAATCTGATAGTCAGCTGGCTTATGAACAGCTATTTGAGAAAAATGAGGATAGAAGAGGATGTACCAAAAAATTTTTTAGGAAGATGACTCTCTAAAAAAAAGGAAAGTCTTGTCTTTTGCCATATAAAGAGTACTGTAGTGTTTCAGACATGCAACCCAATTTCATACGTTGTATCTCAATAGAAAGAGGACTGAATTTTATGAAGAAATCAATGGCATAAACGCGAAGCATATAAACATTCTGAAAAGTACGAAATAGTCAATTTTAAGATTAATAGTAAATGTATATCTCTAGTCTAATCAATCTTTATTTACTCATTTTATATAGAAAATAGAACGATACCATGTACTAAATACGATCGACAGAGTACTTCCCAGTGGAATTCAACAATTCTTCTCTAATACACAAAAATAAACTTGCCACAGAATTCATTCAATATCTACATAATTCTGACACAAAAGAACACATCAGCGGATTTTAATGTCTTCCATCAGAGTTTTAAAAGAGCACATAGACCTATTTTCAGAGAAAAATAGAATTATTGAGGAAAAAATGCGTAAGCAACATCCATGCTCTTTGTTCACTATTTACATGTCATACTCAACTCGTTCTAGATTAGACTATTATTCGCTAAATAGTTTTCAATTTATTGGTCTTGTTTGACAGAATGCATCAGTTACGATATGACCCAATACAAACCAAACATAACACTACATTCAACTACTAAATGGGTATTATTCATATGATCTCAAATATTATGATATTGAGCTGCTATAAAACATACAAATTCTGGTATTAGACTAGAATTTCATATTACTCATGCTGGATAAACAGAGTTCTCAACAGAAATTTGTTGTTGGTAAGAGAACGCACAAGAGATAGCTACTCTATGCCAAACAATCTAATACTTCGATCGTAACCGAAAAATCGTCGGATTTGATAAAATTTGGGTGGATCGTGTCTGAAGTTGGTGGAATGAAAGGACCGAATTTCGTCAGTCGGATTCAACTCACGGAAAGTGTAGGATCCAGCTAACGCAATTTTGTTTTGATCTTCTATGAACTCCAAACAGGATTCAGTTGAATTTGATAGAACCCTACGAGACAGTTGCGGCCTGAGATCATGAAGAAAAACGATTGCATTGCAAAATTCTCCAATTCTATTTTTGATAAATTCTGTTACTGCTGAGTTTCATAACAAAAATAGCAACAAGGAGGAAAATGAGAAGTATTCTCAAGCCAGTGTTAGCAAAAATATGTAAAGTCATAGTGTTCTATCGTTTTCACATTGATGAGACATGAAATAAAGCTTGTTGATATACAAAAGAGAAGAATATCTCGTTTTGAACGGTTTTTAAAAATAGATTAATTACATACAAAATCTTACAGAAACAATTGAGTTAAAAATCTTGATAATTAACTCCTATATAGAACTACAAAAAATAAAAGAAATTTATAATTATTCGAATAGATTTTTTGATTGACTGTATATGCATATTTCTCTCTCTAGTTTTGATATTAATATTGTACGTATCAGTTAAAAATCTCATACTCTAGCGAGAATAAAAATATTTGAGAAAAAAAAAATAGCATTTGCCATTTTTAGTTTCGTATACTATTCGATGATATTGAGAGTATAAGAAAAAGAAATTATCATATAAATATAAACAAGAAGATTAAAATTTAAAAATTTTGAATTCTTACTTGATTTTCACGTGTAACAGTTAAAAGATCATCTTGTAAACGTTTATTATCTCGTGCACTGAGATCAAGTTTACGTCGATATTCATTTAATTCTTCAAGATTTCGATCAAGTTGCATTCTCATACTTGTTATTTCTTTTAATCTTTGTTTTGTA